CCTATATACTATACGGCCAAGCTATAGCGGGTTTGGCCGTGCCGCGGAGGGCGCTGAGGGCCCTGAAGGGTTGGGCTTGCCTTGGGGCCAAGCTGGCGGAGCTGACGTGGCTCGGAGGGTGCCGAAGGGGGTTGGGAAAAGTTGGGGCGCAACGGCTGGGGCAGGCGGTACCTGGTACGGTGTGCCGTCCCAAAAGAGCTGGGGAAGGCGTACGTAGTGCGAAAGGCTGGGGCGTGGAGGACCGCGGGGGCGAGGTGTTGCGGACGGCCGGGGGGGCGGAGTGGAACCGGCGAGGCGGGGGTGCTGTCAAACTCAAAACCAGCGATCAAAGCCACACTGCGGAACACAACTTCTGGGCACCGCCCCCGCAGGGGTCGGCGGATAACGTAAGTATAACACAAGATAATTCCGTCTCGTATAATATAGTAAAATGAATAGTAAAACAGAATAGACTAGAACAGAATAGAACATATCATTACATAGAAAAACTAAACTATACTATAATATGATATATTGCAACTAATAGAGTACTGATACAATAGACTATGGTATGACATGCTGTAACCCGGTAAGGTGCGATATGATAGAGCAGAGTGTAACGAAACAGACAAACACATAGTGCATATATACACACATACCAATGTATGCATATATATATATATATATACTATAGACATATCCAGATATTTAAATGGGTATGTGTATATCTATACATGCATATATGCGTTCACATCTGTACGTGTGTATGTGTGAGACCCGCAATCACTGTACACGTGGTACAGAGCCACCTGTTTGTCTGGCTGTCTGGCCCCATGTCAGTGCCAGTGGTTCTTAATCCAGGTGTCTGGCAGTCAGTATGTAGTTCGAAGTGAGGTCTTCACGGCCCCGCTCCGAAAGTCGAAGAGCGCAGTGCTGTGGCACCATGGGCATCACGATTGCGTCTGTCCTTCCGCATCCACAACCCACATACCAAGACGCATGGCCGATAAGACAGCAGTCAGTGAGCATGCAGCGTACAGCGAGGAGCAAGCCTGCTATATCCTGCTCCCGAGGCCGAGCCAAGCATCCCAAGCGCAAGTACGGTGTTCGACCCGGTTGGATTCAAGGTCCCTGTCGCATGGGATGCATGGGTACCAAGCACACCAAAGAGAGGGCAGCCAATGGCAGTGGATACACTTGGTGGGATCTTGACAATGTGACGCGGTTCTTCCATGCGCTGGGGCACAACGCTACTTGGAGTCCTTTTGTATACCTCAACTACTCAGCCTTGCTTTTGTGGGAAAACTAGAGCCCGTCCCTTGCATGCAAGTGGTGTCTGCTCGCAAGCAATGTGTGAGGTTTTCATACTGTCCATGCCACTGGTGGGTGTGAATTTCGATCCACGTCGCAGCACCAACTGGACAGATCACTGGTGGTTCCAGCGACTCTACAGAACTTCAGCAGGTACAGAGAGCATCGTCAAACCGCATGGTGTCTCTTTACAGTGTGGCAAGGCACCACGAGAGCCTTGGTGACTCCGCAATCCGTGCTTTGGCTACGCAGCTGCTGTCGTTGACTGCTAGCTGCCAGGCCAAGTTTCAGCCATTAATTCCGAGACGTGTTAGCAGAGGATACTTCTGCGAGCCCGTGATCCTGACCATCAACTACGCTTTAAGCTTGGGCTTCCAGGATTCGGCTTTCGATACTTTCGATACTCTACAGAATATCAGACCTCAGCCCCTCAGCGTCTTGTGAGAGGATGTGGTTTTGGCTGGCTTGTCGGGTGGAGGGTGGACTACGAGCCTCGTCGCAGCTATGGACCCGCGGGTGGTGAAGTCAATCCCCGTTGCAGGCCAGGCCTGGAGGAAGCGCTTTGTTTATTCTTGGTTTCTGCATTTTGGCTGAGTTGGCCAAGAGGTGTCCTGCCATGGGCTCTACGCTTCGATCGCACGGCCGCTGGTATCGAGGCGACAGGTGACATAGGCCGCCTTCGAAGCTTCAGAGCCTCTGTGAGTTCTGTCCAGTTCGTGGGCAAGGATGACGAGGGATAGAATGACAGGCGACTATGAACAGATCTGCAAGCTGAAACCATTCCCCTTCAAGAATGGAGCGAGGCGGCCAGCGGTACTCTTCGTTGCTGCTTTGCTATGCTGTACAATTTCAAGATGTGAGGTCATGGCAGTAATTAGCCTTGAGCCTCACGCGCAGCGATGGTGTTTGGCAGGCACAAAGGATATGGATGGCGTAGAGATGCTGGCCGGGAGTATTGCCAGGCTTGTAACTACAAGTGACTCTCGGCTGATTGCAATTGCATGTGTCGTGGGAAGTTGCTGTGAACGGTGCTGAGCCCTCCATCGAGCCGAGGCCAGTTTCTCTTGGCAGGCTTCGAGCAGCATCGCTGGCAACTTCAAATCTTCCACGAGGTCATTGGTCAAGTGTAGGTCACTAAAGAAGCGGCCACAGGGCATCAGCGTAGTGCGGGAACTGCCTGTGTGTCTAGGATGATACTTGCTGCTATGCCGCCGCCGGAAGGCCCAATGACAATTAGGACGTTAGGTTCAATTGTGATGTGATTCGGGCCACTGCGTGCTAGACAGCCTCTCCGAGACAGTCAGTTGCCGCGAATTCGTAAGGCACCAGGAGTTTCTTGCGTATGAGAGCGACATCCGCACCGCCTTGGCAAGTCAGCAGCTTCATGGGTGGTTTACCGTGGCCAGGGCCCAAGAATTGCGCTATACTCGACAAAGGGGTTCGGAGCTCTGTTTGCATGAGACAAGGTGGTGACAGATCACAGGTGCGCCGGATCATTTTGCAACCGCAATTCATGCGTGACGTGTTCGGATGCATCATGAGAGTTGACCTTTTCCCACTGAAGCTAGAAAGCTACCAATCTGTGTTAAGTGAGGTTGCATGAGCTCTGTGCCGAAGACAAGAGAGTCATCCAAGCGGCCTTGACCATGCAACTCACGCCAAAGAATGGCGCATGGGACGTGTTGCCTTGTGATGTGCTTCATGGCAAGCTGCAGGCTCAGCCGTTGCAAGCTCTTCGAACAAATCGTTCAGAATGTCAGCAGTTCTCAAGAGTTCTGCAGCCAGACATGTCATGTTGAACTACATCAAGGTCCAACCGTGCAGCAACCTGCTACCGAGACAGAGACATTCAGCGTGCACGAAAATGGCGTCGTCGGATTGCCCACGATCGTCGGCTGTTGTGGCTGCCAGAGTAGATTGTAACCCTTGGCGCGTTCAGGTGGGCGCAAAGGATGTGCAAGTGAATTTTGTGGCTGACAGCGAGTATCCGATCTGCGGGGTCCCCACCTTCTCCGACGTTCTGACGTGGGTACTGGTGGGAAGCCTTATGGATGAACCTTGCAGATGAGGCTTCGGAGGCTTGGGCGGCTACTGCGTGCCAGAAGCCTCTACATGGGAGATCTTCATGGACGAGGGCAACGAACAGGACACAACAATGAAAACTTGCAGTACAACACAGTCATGCTGCCGACGTTTCTGTGGAGCATGTGCTGAGTGTCAGACCACAGGATGTTTTCGGGGGAAGAGGCATTCCAAACTGTCGGACGTTCCACTCTCGGATTAAACTTTGCCTTGTTGAGCAATGTTCACCATCAGCCTCCTGGTATGTCAGTTGCTTCGTGGGCAAGTAAGTACTCAAATCTTTTCTAAAATGTTGATTGAGAGGTACACAGCACAGACAGACAGAGAGACAGAGGTGGACTCTGCCCGCAGACTAAGTCTAACCACAAGTCGTGTCAGTGTCAGATCCGGAACAGCGTCTAAAATTAGTGGAGGCTTCCGGGCTACACTTCAGAAGCTCGTCAAAGCGTGAAGAGACGCAGGATGGCCCACATCCGGTCTTGAAGATGGGTCTCGCGAAGGCAGACACTTCCAGAGGTCGCTGGCAGGAGGCACATCTTTAGTAAACAGACCTTGTGGTCACGGTCATACCAGGTTGGTCCAGTTTGGTCTTGTCTCCAGCAGGTGTTCACACAGTGGGAACCCTGGCAGTCGGCCAAAGCCATGATGGAGGCGACCAGATTCTGCATTCAAGCCAGGGCACTGCAATGCTCCAACAACCTACGGCATGGCTCTGGAGATGCTTGCCAGGCATATGCCACCAATGCGCTGGAAGGGGCAAGTGAACTGGCAATGGAGGCCTGGCAATCCGAGCAACATGCCTCCTTAGAGCTTGGCACCCATGACATTTAAGTTCATTCCGTGAGCACAGCTCATGCCTTCTTGCTGGCATCAGGATGGAGATGAAGTGTGAGCAGAGGCACTTTAGGAGCCGATTGATAGACAGCTGCTTCCAAAAGCACTTCTCACCGACGATAGGTTCTGGATGATCTTCCATCCCAAGCTGGTGTGGACGCACAAAATGAAAATGCTGGTGGTTCGACAGTACTTACCGTGGCCCGCCTTTGAACTGGCACAGCAGCCTATCCTTTGCATATGTGTGTGTGGTTCATCGCTTCAGGTTTTGAGCCGCAGGAAAAACCTTCCCCTAGTAACAGCCTGGGGGCCACCAAGATTCTCAGGGGTGTTCTTTTTCCTGCGGTGCGGGCCCCGTCGGCTACGGGAGCGGCCTCTGTGTGTTCCAATGCAGTCACATACCTCGAAATATCTCAGCGGACAGCAGACATAGTGGCAGGTAGTACTCATCGAAATCTCTCCACTTCGCAATAGTCATAGAATCAACTTTGCGCACATGAATCGCCATCAGTGCAGCGACAGCTGCCCAAGCAGCCCATGGAGGCCCGCCATGCACCGTGCAGATTCGAAACATGCTGGCCTGCTCAACGCGAGATTCTGACGAGGAACTAAAGCTGGCTATCTCGGCTTTGGATTTCGGGGCCACCTCCAAGTTGCTTCAGGCTGGAAGCAGCCTCGCGCGGCTGATTACTGCTCCTCTCTTCCTCCAGTTTCCCATTCTACAGGAACTACCAGATGCCCAGAATGCCTTATGTGCCACAGACGAAGATGGGCTTTCGCCTCAGACTGCATCGACATGTTGGACCATGCAGAGGCCGTGACATAGAAACTTACAGAAGCTTAGATACTTATCCAGTCGTCTTGAAGCCGAAAGTATCAGACCTACCAGCATCGGATCAGTAGAGACTGGGCATAGCGCTTGGCGTGAGCTGCGAGCGCAGCAAAACACCTGTCGCATGGTGACCAAATTAAGACCCATGTGAGGCAGTCGAGCAAAGCGGGTCCCGTGAATCCTGAAGCTACAACTGACGGCAACGGGTTTGTCGAGGCAGACGCTGCTTCATCTTTGTGCTGATGCGCTGGGCGAGGTTGACCCAGTTTCAGACGAAGGCAGGATTCTCAGATACCCTGACAAGCAGACAGATAAGCATGGCTTGCATTGAAGGAATGTGCGTAAAGTTCATCCGTTGCCAGTGTCTAGAGATCATCAGTGTACACTCGTATCCGCTTGCAGAATGCTTGGGTGCTTTGCATGTGAACGTCTGGAGTCTTTGAGGTTTCAATGTCATGAAGCTGCTGCTGGGCCGTCGGGCCAACCCATGCAGCCTCAACAGCTTGGGGGTGAGCCCGCCAGTTCACGGCAGCATGTTGAAGCCTCTGCCGTTCCTAGCTGTCACTTTCAGCTGTTTCGTTAATTAGTGCATCGTTCTATTTTGTTCTACTTTGATTGAGCTCCAGATGCGCCTAAAGGGAATTTTCATGGAAGAGTTTTCTGATTCTGCAGGAGGTTAAGGCGCTTAAGGTTTCTGCTCCTCACTTCTGCTGCTTTGGATTACATCGACATGGAAGCTGAGGAAACGACATCAAAAAGCCAATGTGGATCCTGCAGTCTGAAACCCATACTGTAAAGATCTGTAAAGTGTATCTTGCAGGCTCTCAAGCTTGCGCCCTTCAAGCCTTTCTGTTGACGCTGTCTCCAGGAGTCGCCCCTGATCTTGGCCGCGCGAGCCACGGCAGGCTTCTTGGGTCCTTCGAGAGTGGGCTCGATTCTTTGGTTTGTCATTCTTGCTTAAAGAGTGATCACTCGCGGATCTGGGCTTTAGGTACGTCTTACCTACCAGTGGGGCAGACGGAGGCCAAATAATGCATAGTATGAGGCAATATTGGTGGGACACGAGGGAGGCAAGATTGAACAACAGTTCACAGGATTGCATAGCTTTGCGAGGAGGGAGCGGATGGGGCACTTGAAAATTTCACAGGATTCGATGCTTTTGATGAGCGAGCGGAGAACGGGGGAAGGGGGTAGATTGATACATCTGGAGCAGAGTTTTGTAGAAAAAGCTGAATAGCTGTCCTCTTCCGCAGCTGCTTGCGCAATGTGCCCGATTTTTGGATGGGAAGCTGATTACAGAAGAGCGTCATGGAAATAGTCAAACGCTTGTGAAGGTGGGACATACTACTGACGACGACGACGATTACTACCATTACTACTACACCATACTACATCACGCATTTTGGCAACTTTTGTCATGTGGGGGGGGGGGGGTTGCAAAATGACCATCATGTTTGCCATCTTGCTTGCATCGGGATGGGGGGGGGGGGGAATGACACGTCGTTTTGGTAATCTTATGTAATCTTGGACCACTTGCACCCCTTGTGCCGCTTGTACCACTCGCCATTCGGAGACCACTTGCACCACTTCCGAACCAAGATTACCGAAAATACCTAAACGACTCACCACCCTCGGATACCATTTGCACCACTTGCATGTGAGCGCCAGGCGCTCCCCTAAACCTTACCCTGGACCCCCCAGGCAGGGGTTTGGGTTAAGGGTTTATG